AAATCATATATTGTTGAAGTATAAAGTGTATAAAATTAAAAGTGTAGATGCATGAAGTGTATAAAAGTAAAGTTTGTCACTCTGAACCCACCCCCTTGTCCTGCCACTCCAGGCCCTTGTCCAAAGCCTCTCCCCACATTCCTTGGAGCCCCTTCAGGTCCTGCAAGGCCACAATCAGGTCACCCCAAAGCAGAACAATCCCAATTTTCCCAGCCTTTCCTGCCGGCAGAGCTGCTCCATCCCTCTGCTCCCTCCCTCTGCTCCATCCCTCTGCTCAGCCCCTCTGCAGTGGCTCCAGCAGCTCCAGGGGCTCCCAGGGCTGTTCCCAGGGCTGGGGGGTCTCCCCTGGGGGGGCAGAGGGGCTCAGACCCCAATCCCAGCTCCCCAAACAAAGCCCTTGACTCAGAGCCGGGGCAGGAGATGAAAGGATGTGCCCGGGGCCCCTCCCAGCTTTCCCTCTGAATCAACAAGTGCCTTATTTTGCCTCAGACTTTTAATAATCCCATTAAGAAATCAACAATAAAAGTTACCCAATTCATTTGGGTGTTGGACAAATGAGTGGTTGTGTATAAAGGGGTGAAAAAACAAGGATTTTACATTGTCTCGAGATAAGGAAACACCGAGGTTGGGAAATAATAATGGGGGTATTAAAATGGGCAGCAACTGAACTGGTGTGAGCACAAAGCAAACGTGATTTCCAGGGAAGGAGTTGCAAAGGACTCCGTGAGATCATTTCGAGTCTGAGAGGGAAGAGAACTTTCGGGTGAGGACGAAGAAAATGATTCAGAAGTTTGGAGGAAAAGGATTCAGCACAAAACCAGGCACCTGCTGATCCTTGTTTTCCTTTCAGAAGGACCACTCATCGCTCCCAGCTCAGGAAACCTGTGACTGGTGCAGCCCTTCCCTCTGAAAGGTGCTGAGCCCACAGGAAATGTTCTGCAAACCAGAAAATACAAGTTCATTAAGCATTAAATATAAATATACATAAATATATAAAAATATAAAAATATAAAAATATAAATATACATAAATATATATATTTGTATATATAAATGTAAATAAACCAAGTTTATTAAGCATTAAAGATAAATATATAACAATATAAATACATATGAATATAAATACATATAAATATATATATAAATATAAATATATCAGGTTTATTAAGCAATAAACCATATTTTAATTTTTTTTAAAAAATATTTAAATTTATCCTTTATATATAAATCTTTTCTATTGAAACATGAAAGCATTTTTTTCCCCCAGCAGGTCAAACCCTGCTCTTTTCAAGCCTGTAACACCCACGGGAAGTGGGGAATCACTGCTGGTGATTTCTAGCAGAGAGGATTAAGACAGAGGCACAAATGATTTGCCAACCATGCCCTGGCAGTGAAATGAGCCTCTGGGAGGAGATCCCGGGCACGGCTCGTACTCGTGTTATTATTTGTAATTAGAATCCCATTAGCTCTTGGCTCATGGAAACGGGGCTGGTGCCCTGATACCACGAGAACAGGGAGCTCCAGGTCAGGCCTGGCAGGAGCCAGGGACGAAACCAGCTGGGGTTGGGGTGGGCAAGGGAAGGACCCTCAGCTCCATGGATGGGCAAGGGAAGGACCCTCAGTCCCACGGGATGGGCAAGGGAAGGATCCTCAGTCCCACGGGATGGGCAAGGGAAGGATCCTCAGCTGAAGGATCCTCAGTCCCATGGGATGGGGAAGGGAAGGATCCTCAGCCCCACGGGACTGGGTTGTCCTCACCCCAAGGCAGGACAAGGAGGGCACCCAAAAGCCTCTCCCCAAATTCCTGGGTGCTGGAAATCTGCTCCAGCCCCCTGGGCCTGGAGCTCCCCCTGGCCCTGGCTCTGCACTCCAGGGCATCTTCGCTTTTCCAGGTTGGATTTTTCCCTGAAGGGAAAGGAAGGGCCCAAACTCTTGTTTCCAAAGTAGCTGAGGAGCAGCACCAGGCAATGTCTGTGTTTACAATAAAGGCCAGTGGAGACAGAGCCTTTCCATCCCACCTGGAGAAGCCACAGGAATGCAGATTGCAGGGCAGGGACGGGGCTCCTTCCGTGCCTTCCGCTGCCAGCAGGAACCAGCACGTGGAACCTGGTTCAGCTCTGCAGTTCAGAAACACTCTGAGCAACATTTCTGAGTTTAAAGTCCTTTAAAATCATCAAATTCAGGTGCAGGAGGACCCAGCATTTGCCCCCTGACTTTGCTCTGTGCTCTGTTACACTGGGTGAGGAGCTGGATGCAATTCCTCAGTTGTAAAGGTATTTAATGTGAAACCCTGTGTGTGACCAGAGAAAAGTATTTCATGTGAAACCCTGTGTGTGACCAGAGAAAGGTATTTCATGTGAAATCCTGTGTGTGACCAGAGAAAGGTATTTCATGTGAAACCCTGTGTGTGACCAGAGAAAGGTATTTAATGTGAAATCCTGTGTGTGACCAGAGAAAGGTATTTCATGTGAAATCCTGTGTGTGACAGAGCAGGGGCTGCTGTGATGCCTCAGAACAAAGTGGAACATTTTGGGGTTTTGTGCTTTGGAGCTCAGACGAGTGGAAGGAGGAAGTTCAATTTTGTGCTGAGTAGGGAGAAACTGCTGAGGGTGAATCCCAACCTTGTCCTGAGATGAAAGGTTCCCGTGGGCTGGGATCCCACCCAGCTCCTCTTGCCCAAGAGCAAACAACGTGCCCGGATCCCTCCACCCGCTGCCGTGGCAAGGGCAGGGAGGTTTGGGGTGGAAGGAGGGAGGGCTGAATGCCCAAAGGGTGGCTCAGACCCTGGGCAATGGTATAAAAGTGCTCAGAGCACAGAGCTCCTCAATCCACTCAATCCACTCCTCTGAGCTTCTCCTTGCTGCTCAACTTGGTAAGTCTGACCTAAAATCACTTTAATGTGGATTCAGGGAATGGTTTGGGTTGGAAGGGACCTTAAAGATGGGGATTTCTGGAATGATAGAATGGTTGTTTTAATGTGCTCATGTCTGAGCACTTCCTATGGCTTTGCCTGTTATTGGTAGAGTTTTTATTTTCATTAGAATAGAAGGGTTCTGGTGCTTCTTTCGTGCTGGCAGGGTTTGGAGGGAATGGGATTTCTAGGGGAAGCATCAGACTTCGAGAAATGATAAACTCATGGAATCCTGGAATGGTTTGGGTTGGAAGGGACCTTAAATCCCATCCCATTCCACCCCCTGCCATGGGCAGGGACACCTTCCACTAGCCCAGGTTGTTCCCAGCCCCGTCCAACCTGGCCTTGGACACTTGCAGGGATCCAGGGACATCCCTGGAATAACCTGTGCCAGGGTCTCCCCACCCTGCCAGGCAGGAATTTCTTTCTAATGTGTCCCAGCTGAATCCACGGCAGGGCTTGGAAGTGGCTGATCCCCGAGGTCCCTTCCAGCCCCACCCTGCTGGGATTCCAAGGGGAACCTGTGGAACGTTGCCTGGTGTGACTGACGGAGGCTCCCCTTGTCCCCCCGTGTGTTGCAGCCTCTCTCCAGCCCAGGATGTCCTTCTGCAGCCAGCTGAGCTCCCGCTGCTCCCTGCCCTGCCCGGTGACGTGTCCCCAGCCCGTGGCCGACGCCTGGAGCCAGCCCTGTGTCACCTCGTGCGGGGACTCGCGGGCCGTGCTCTACCCCCCTCCCGTGTCCATCGTCTTCCCGGGCCCCATCCTGAGCTCCTGCCCCCAGGAGAGCGTGGTGGGCACCTCCCTGCCCGTGGGGCCGGCGGGTTCCTTTGGCTGGGGGAGCTCTGGGGGTGCTCAGAGCTCCTGGGGATCCGGCGCTTCCCTGTCCGGCCGATATTCCTACCCCTGCTATTCCCGCTATTCCTCCTACCGTGCTGGGAGCTGCGGGCCCTGCTGAGGGACGTGGATTCCTGAGGATCAGCAGGACTCGGCCCCAGCAAACGCTCCCAGCCCCTCCTGTGCCCTCGGGATGAAGTTCTGCTGCTGTTAAATCCTCGCCCTCCCTCCATTAAAGTCGATGTTGCAGCACAGCCTTTGTTCCCTGCTTTCCTTTTCTCCTCAGCTGGAAACTCTTGGCCAGTGGTGCCCAAGTGATGCCCCAGTTGAGGGTCAGGCCCGTGGGGGGGTCATCACAAGGTGTCCTGGCCCCAGGGGGGTGCTGCCCATTCAGCCACGAGATGGGGATGGCCCTGAAACCTTCTGTGAGATTTGTGGTGGATGGGGGGGATGAGGCTCAGGGGGGACCTTCTGGCTCTGGAATTCCCTGACAGGAGGGGAGGGTCTGGGGTGTCGGGCTCTGCTCCCAGGGAACAAGGGACAGGAGGAGGGGAAACGGCCTCAGGCTGTGCCAGGGGAGGGTCAGGTTGGCCATGAGGAGGAATTTCCCCCTGGAAAGGGTGTTCAGGCCTTGGCAGGGGCTGCCCAGGGAGGTGGGGGAGTGCCCAGCCCTGGAGGTGCCCAGGGCAGGACTGGCTGTGGCACTGAGTGCTCTGGGCTGGGGACAAGGTGGGGATGGGGCACAGGGGGATCCATGGGCTGGGAGGGCTTTTCCATCCTAAATCATCCTGGGATTCTGTGATTCAGTAACTGCACTGCCTGGCTGGATCAGAATTCATCCCCATCCTCTCACCAGCCTACAGAGAGAAAGGAGTGACCTCAGCATCTTCACTGCACTTTAAAAGTGTATTTTCTGCTAATTACAAATGCCAGTGCTGGGAATAGATTTCCCTTCTATCCTGGGAAAGCCTTGGCTTCAGCTGCTCCATGGAGAGGACCCGAAGAGGGAGAAGCAGAGCTTTTCTCCCGCTCTTAAGAGCATTTTATAGTTTTCTAATACTGAGGGGCCAAAACTCTCATTTCCAAAGTATCCGAGTACTCGTGGTTGGAAGGAAACCATCCCTGGTGACTACTGGGAATTAAAAGCAGGATCTGGAAGAGGAATAAGGGAGCTCAGAAGGAAGGGAGGGGTGGAATGACCACGGGTCAGTGCTGTGCAACATGGCTTTTAATGGGCACGAGAAGCAAAGCCAACAGTCACAATCACCCGGGGGACAGACACAGGCACTTCAGGACCTTCCAAATCACAAAGCTTCTGCATTTCCGACAGGAATTTCTGCTTTCCTTAGCGCTGCCCTAGAATTCCAGCTCCGTATCCGCGGTTTTCTCGCCCCGGAGCTCCCGGGAATCCTTTAGCAGGGACCGCAGCTCCCCCGGCTGCCGGTGCTGTACTGGCGGGGGAGGTACGGGCTGCAACTCCCCCTCCCCGGGGCCGAGCAGCCGGAATTGTAGGACCTGCTGGAGTTACACCCCCCCCCGTAACCACCGGAGCCCCCAAAGAGGATGGAGCCCCTCAAACCCGCGGCATTTCCGTACCCCCGGTAGCCCGGGGAGCCCCCGGAGCCCAAGGAGCGGGCGATGCCCGGCGGGATGCCCGGGGGGCCGCAGCTGCCCACGACGCTTTCCTGGGGGCAGGAGCTCAGGATGGGCCCGGGGAAGGTCAGGACCACGGGCGGGGGGTAAATGACGGCCCTGGAGTCGTCGCAGGAGGTGACACAGAGCTCGTTGCAGGCGTTGGCCACGGGCTGAGGGCAGGGCAGCTCGCAGGGGCTGCCACAGGGCAGGCACAGCTCTCCGCAGTGGGACATGGCTCTGGGGACGGCAGGAAGGGCTTTGGGTCCGGGGATCGGTCTAAAAGACAGGGAGGAGATCAAAATAACACCCAGCACCTCCCTCCGGCGAATCCGGCTGAATAACCACCCTAAAAACAAATTCACAGCATCAAAGCGCTTCCGTAGCGAGGCGGGACGAGCAGAGGAGAGAATTTAAAGCCCCGCGCGCTCGAGGAGAAGTGTCTGAATCCCTTAGGGGTCCCTAAGTCTGAGATCAGCTCCCCAGATCCACACCTCTCAAACCCCGCAGCAGAGACCTGTTTGTCGCTTGGCAGAGGAACAAAGCTGAGCGCTGAAAAATAAAGATTTAACAGTCAAAAGAGCAAGCCCGGACTTACCTGATCCGCCGAAGAGGGAAAGTTCGGAGATGGAGGTTAAACAGCCTTGAGCTGCGAGTGCTTTTATACAATCCCTGCAAGTGCCCGGAGGGTAAAGGGCCTATTTGTAGGTGATTATCTCATTTACTTGCAAATCGGATGTTGTGCCTCGGCTCGCTCCTCGCCCGCCGTAATTACCTCTCGGAGGGGGGGTGTTCTGCCCCCAAAGGCGATACCCATCGGACGGGTGCTTTGGGCTTCCCCTTGATCACCGGTTGCAGCGACAACGCGGAATCACAAAATCATCTGGGCCGGAAAAAACCTCCCAGGTGATCGAGTCCCACCTTTGGACTCAGCCCGAGCAGAGCTGCGGGGGCCGCGTTAAAAACCCACCCAGGGCAGGTTTGGGGCAGAAATTAGGAAGGAATCCTTCCCTGGGGGAGGAGGGGGGCCCTGGCACAGGTTATTCCAGGGATGCCCCGGCCCTGGAAGTGTCCAAGGGCGGGTTGGCCGGGGCTTGGAGCAGCCCGGGGCTGGAATGGGATGAGCTTTAAGGTGCTTGGAGCAGCCCGGGGGTGGAATGGGATGAGCTTTAAGGTGCTTGGAGCAGCCCGGGGGTGGAATGGGATGAGCTTTAAGGGGCTTGGAGCAGCCCGGGGGTGGAATGGGACGAGCTTTAAGGTCCCGTTCCCCGTTCCCCTCGAACGGCGCTCACGGAGCTCCGGGGGCAGGTCCCTTCTCCAGACACAAACTCCCCCCGTGTTCTCCTCCCACCCCTCCATTCCCGTGGAGATCCATCCCCGCGGGGGCTGCAAATGTCCCCTCTGACCCTCCCGAGCGGGATAATCCCAGCTCTGACAAATACACCTCCTGCCCTTCGCCTCTGGATGGGGCAGGAGGAAGGAGAATTCCTCTGGGATGGGCAGAACCGTCCCCTGCTGCAACTCCTGCCTCCCTCTGCCCGCTCACGCCCTGCGCGGCTCCAGCCCTGTACTTTAGGCACGGATTAATTCTGGGGGATGGTTATGAGGAAGCTCCAGGCAACACTTCCCTTGTTGTTGTTTTAATTTTATTTTTTTTTTGCCGCAGAATCAAAGCACCTCCGTGTGATTAACGTGTTGTAGCTACAGAGCTCGGCTGTAATCACATTAATTACATGTTGTTGCACTTTGGGGTTCTTGATAATGAGTAATAGTTTCACTTCAAAACTTAATCTCCTCGTCCTCCTGGGCAGACACTTCGTGGCTCTGCAGGTCATGGCTGTTTTCTTTGACACAGAAGGCAATTTATTTCCTTTACACTACAATCAAAGTGTTAAATTCACAGACCTTCTGGTCTTTGTATGGTGTAAATCTGCTCTATCAATTGAAAAATACATAAGAAGATTTCCCTGCATAAAATCTGAGCTTAAGCTGCTAAAAAAAAAAAAAAATTGAAACCAGCCTTGTAGTGGGATAAATTCAGATCCTCTCATTAAACATATGCAGCACAAATTCCACAAGCCTTCCTTCTCCAGGGAGAGTTTTACTTGTCATTGTGTGAAGAATTTTTGATTCCCCGTGGAAATTGGGAGCCCAGGGATTTATTTACTCTCCAGCTCTGCTTCCAGCTGGAGGATCTGGGGTTCGACACGTCGACCAAGGCATTTAACCCCAAAGTTTTCAAAATCTAAATTGCCCATTTTCTTTGAAAAGCAACGTCGTGTCTCTGGACTGGCTCCAGCACCTCGAGGTCTTCTGAGGGGAGGGAGAGTTGAGTCTCTGGAAACCCCAAACAGGCAGCAAACCATAAATCAGTAAAAATAAAGTCCAGGAGGGAGTGAATCCCTGCCACTCTTTGCCACAGCTCTGAGGAATCAGCAGCAGATTTGGGATTAACAATTATGGACTCATTATCTCATTACACAGCCTGTAAATTCCTGTTGGAAGCTCCAGTTGTGTTGGACACCCTGAAGGAGCAGATTCTGCACCAACACGGGCCAGGAGACATTTCCTGAGGGCTTTTCCTTACAAAGAACAGCATGTGGGGTGGCAGGAGACAGGTTTATAGAACCCCTATAAATGCAACCATCCCAGTTACATTTAACAATTAAGAGGTGCAAGAGCAGCAGAGCTGTTGGGAAACAAAGCTCCTGCTAATCCTGATTTTAGCAGTGCCTTTGTCAACATTCCCCTTCCAGCCTTTCCTCCTCCCGGCAGTGCTTTGGTCTCTGGAGCTTCTGAATCAAGGGGGAAAACAAATGAATAATTTATGGCAGGAAAATGCAACTTTAGGGAGGAGTTCCCAGCAGCTTCGAGGGTGGTTTGCTGGTTGCTGCCAGGGGGAACTGGTGTTATAATGGGGACAATTGTGTTGTTCCTCCAAGCCAGCTCCCCATCCCTGAGCACCTTGGGAAGGGCAGGATGGACCAGCTGGGGAGGGTTTGGGCCCTGGAGCTGAAAAACAAGCTCAGAGACTTTGGGTTTAACTCAGGAACCACCAACTCTAAAGCTTTCAGAGCTTTCAGAGCTTTCAGGGCTTCCAGGCACAACCTCCTTGGGGAAACAGCACCAGTGGGACCTTTCAGGGGGGGATTGGTCACCCTGGGGTGTCTCAGTGCAGGATTAGGAGGTGCCAACCTGCCCATCTGCAGCCACAGGGGCAGCATCTCCTGCCAGGCCCGCTCTGAGCCAGCCCCAGGCTCTGCCAGGCTTTGCTCCAGGGGTGTCCCAGTGACTCCCCACGACCTGGACATCCTTTGGACACACTGGCAGCAAACTGGGCAGCCAGGGGAGGAAATCAGGTGGAGGTGAAGCCCAGAAACACAAATATTCTTTGGGCTGAGGAGCTCCAGGGCACGGAGCTCCAGCCTCACCTTTTCCATGAAGTGCAGCCACAGCCACAGGGGATCCTGTCCCCATCCTGGCTCCTCCACACTAATGACACTGTGCCTTGTTCCATCCACAAACAGGGATCTCTGGGGGGGCTGGGGGAGCCCCTGCCAGGGTCTGAGGGGCTCCAGGGAAGCTGGAGAGGGATGTTCATCGGGAATTGGGGTCACAGGACAAGGGGGGGGTTTCAGGCTGACAGAGGGGAAATTCAGGTTAAATATTGGGAAGGAATCCTTCCCTGTGAGGGTGGGGAGGCCCTGCAATGGCTTTCCCAGAGAAGCTGTGGCTGCCCCAGCCCTGGAAGTGTCCAAGGCCAGGTTGGACTTGGAACAACCTGGGCTAGAGGGAGGTGTCCCTGCCCATGGCAGGGGGTGGGACTGGATGAGCTTTGAGGTCCCTTCCAACCCAAACCATTTTGGATTCTCTCTACCTTTCATGCAAAACAAAGCCTTTTGGTTCATTAGCAGGTCTGACTGACTGGAGGTTTGGCAACTCGAATATTTGGAGTATTTGCAGGGCTGATTCATGTGCAGAGATTAAATCTGGCTGAGGGACGGGGCCCTGGGAGTGCTGGAACATTCCTCAACTGCTTGGAAAATGTTGCTTGCTCAGAGTGCAATAAATATTTACACTTGTCAATCTTTTTAATGCACTCATGGTATTAATTTTTTTGGATCAAGCTGTAGCTGTTCTAAAGAAAAAAAATAGGAACAGGTCCCCCTGCTTTGCTCAGGGCCAGGTGACCCTGAGAGGAGTGACAGGAAGGTCACCTCTGCACTGACCTCATGTGGAGCCCCAAACAGACCCACAGGGCCCAGACTTTCCAAAGATTTAATATTGAATAAGCTCTTTAGGTTTGTCACTCCCTGAGTGTCCCTCAGCTGTAAATATGAATCGATTCTCCTCCCAGTAATCCCTTTTTCTTTCCTTCTCTGCTTTTTTTTTTTCTTGCTGCCAGGCCAGAACTGTGTTATTGGATTTATCTCAGGGCAGCCAAACCTCAGAACTTCTCTGTGGAGTTCAGGAAATACCAGAATTTGTGTCAGAGATTTCAAAAGATACCGAAGCTGAGTCTGACCCAGGCTCCCCCCTGGCAGCAAATCCATCCTCTTTAGGGCAGCAATTACCTTTTCTGTGGAAAGGGACGTGACAACCACCCACTTTGCATAAAATATCAGCGATGGCCAAAAGTGATGCCAAGGAGAAGAGCTGGGGAAGTGGTTGGAGCTGCCCTGGGTTGTAAACAGAGACAGAGGTGAAGGGGAGGGACGGGCTGGGGCTGATCCAGGGGCTGATCTCCGGGAACAGGAGCTGAGGAAGACTCTGCAGAGGTTGTGGCTGCACAACCAGGGGCTCTCCTGGGCGGGTGGTTGGCAGGGAGGGCTCCAAACACCGACCCAGGGCACTCCAGGGCTGGTTCGTGGGGACCCAGGCTGGGAGAACGTGCCTGGGCTTGCCTGGAACATGGTCCTAAACCAGCCTGGAGCATGGCCCTAAACCAGCCTGGAGCACAGACCCAGACCAGCCTGGAGCATGGCCCTAAACCAGCCTGGAGCATGGCCCTAAACCAGCCTGGAGCATGGATCTAGACCAACCTGGAGCATGGCCCTAAACCAGCCTGGAGCATGGATCTAGACCAACCTGGAGCATGGCCCTAAACCAGCCTGGAGCATGGATCTAGATCAGCCTGGAGCATGGATCTAGACCAGCCTGGAGGATGGCCCTAAACCAGCCTGGAGCATGGCCCTAAACCAGCCTGGAGCACGGCCCTAAACCAGCCTGGAGCATGGATCTAGACCAACCTGGAGCATGGCCCTAAACCAGCCTGGAGCATGGATCTAGACCAACCTGGAGCATGGCCCTAAACCAGCCTGGAGCATGGCCCTAAACCAGCCTGGAGCACAGACCCAGACCAGCCTGGAGCATGAACCTAAACCAGCCTGGAGCATGGATCTAGACCAGCCTGGAGCATGGATCTAGACCAGCCTGGAGCATGGCCCTAAACCAGCCTGGAGCATGGATCTAGACCAACCTGGAGCATGGCCCTAAACCAGCCTGGAGCATGGCCCTAAACCAGCCTGGAGCACAGACCCAGACCAGCCTGGAGCATGGATCTAGACCAGCCTGGAGCACAGACCCAGACCAGCCTGGAGCATGGATCTAGACCAGCCTGGAATATGGATCTAGGCCAGCCTGGAGCAGGAGCCAGACTCCCAGGCAGGTTTGGCAGTCCCTGCCAGGCCGGGGCTGAATCAGCCTGAGCTGATCCCACAGGAGGGAGCAGCCCCAGCACAGAACTGGGCTGGCAGAGCAACATCCCAGCCTGGCAACTTGGGGCTTCACAGGGTTCTCAACAGAGGAATGAAGATTCTAATTTATTTTTAATGTTGAAAAACCCCGTCCTGTTCTAAAAGGTGGTCACCTGAAGAGTGAACTTCTGGAATGACTGGGCTGAGGGGCCCAAATGTGTTTTGTGAGCCCCTCTTTTAAACTGAAGCTAATTAGAAACAGCTTTATGTCTTGATCATGGGCGTGAAAGGCATCATAAAACAAAAGAAGAGC